GGGATTGCATAACAATGAAAGAGTTTTTTGTTTTTGTTTTTTCTTTCCAAGGAGAAGAGTGAATTGGGGGAGGGGTGGGAAGGGAGAAAAGTGCAACAATGAATGACTGGAAACCCTAAGTCTCTGTAAACTTTCATTAAAGTGAATTTTTTAAAAATATGGAAGACTTAGACAGTTGATAAGGAAGATTGAAGAATAAGTGATGCCTTTGAAGTGTGGTGTTGGCAAATATTGAATAGCCCATGGACTGCAAAAGAACAAACCAGTCTGCCTTGGAATCAATGTAGGCAGGATGCTCTTTAGAAGTACAGGTTGTTTAAATTTTGTTTCATATTCTTGGGCCTCTTATCAAGAGGGGCCGGTCCCTGGAGCATGTTGCTTGGTAAAGGAGAGGGTGAGCAAAAAAAAAGAAAAAATAGGAAGCCTCTCCACAAGACGGCCTGACATTATGATGGGAACAGACTGCGCAGGACGGTGCCGGATCCAGAAGTGTTCTGTTCTGTTATCACAGAGCTGCTGTGAGTTAACATTGATTCTATGGCACCTAACAACAACATTCACTGTAAGTACTAGAGCAACTCTTCTCAAACACAAGTGTGCAAAAGAATCACCCAGAGGCCTTATAAGCAAGACAAACTACTGGGCCTGACCCCCCATATTTCTGATTTGGGATTCTGATTTCTGTTACAGTTGGTCAGGAAACCATACTTTGAGAACCACTAGGCTAATATTGTTATTGTTGTCATGTGCCCTCAAGTTAGGACTGACTTCAAAGGCTGTAAATTGCATGAGAGGAGGTTGCTCATCTTTCTCCCTTGGAGCATCTGGTGGATTCAAACGGTGTACCTTTGGACTGCCAGGTCACTCTGTACCCTAGGCCACCAGAGCTCTCTATTAGATTAATTGAATGAGCAAATGTCAAATACATGGCTTCCTGGTGGTGGCCTGTCCTCATACATAACAGGTAACTTTGCTACCCTCTTAGGCTTCTCCCTCTGAAGCAATGGTGATCAGTTATTGTGGTGTTACACATGTGAGACATCTGTAAGAACCCGCAGGATCCATACCTTGGGGCTTTTCCAGGTCTGGTTTCTCTAGAGGTGACCGTGTAGGTGATGCTGAAGGAGATTGCTGGGGGGATGATTCCACAGCCTTCACAGATCTGGATGGTGCTCCTGATGGCGACCGCTCAAGTGCATTCACTGCTGAACTAGGCGGTGCCTGTACAGCTAGGGGTGATGCGGGCGGCGTGCATGAGACAGGTGGCAAGTCGGTTGGAGCACATGGAGGTGATGAGGCCAGTGGTGATGCAGGAGACTGCGCCCAGGATGTTTCACCTGGTGGTGAAACTGGTGATTCCACATGGTGCTCACATGCAGAGTGAGGCATCTGCACAGGTGGGGACACAGGTGGGCTCTGGCCTCCCTTCCCATCCTCTTTGGGAATCCTCCGTAAGCGAAGCTGCATGGATTCTCTCAGACTGGACTGCTCACTCTGGAGGCGTTCCGGACGCTGGTTGCCAAGGGTGAATTCTATCTGGCAGTACACTTCCACCCGGGGGAAAAACACTCTGTTGTAGGGAGAATGAAGGTGGGCAGCATCTAGAAATACAAAAGCATGGGCCGTAAATGATGGTACCAAGCCCAGGCAGCAGCACGTGAACCAGACTGTTTTCATAAGAAGGATTAATGTCCTTTAGCTTGCATTTACACGTGAATTTATACTGAGAATTTCATTGTGTCACTACTCCCTATTCAGTAGACTCTCTCACAGAAGCGTGTGATAAAGGAGAACAAAAGCAAACATGGTTCCTGACCTCTTTGAGTTTACAGCCTAGTGTGGGGAAGGCAGTTTTTCTATAATGTAATACTGTTCTAAAAAGGAATTTTAGTCAAGTGGGGGAAATGGGCAAAAGAATTGAGCAGACATTTCACCAAAGAAGATGCATGTAGACAATACATAAGCAAATGAAAAAAGGTTCAAAACTATTAGTCACTAGAGAATTGCAAATTAAAATGACAAGATTCTATCACGTACCCATTGTGGTTGCTGTTATGTGCCGTTGAGTTGCTTGCCACTCATAGCGACCCTGTGTACAAGAGCCCTAAACCCTGCTCTATCCTGCACCAATCTTATTGTCTCTGACACGCCCATCCCCATTACACACCCATTAGAATCGTTGAAATGAAGAAGGTTCACCACACCAAGGGTTGGCGAGAATGTGGAGGAACTGGATCTCTCATGGACTTGCTGGTAGGAGTGAAAAATGGTACAACCGTATTGGAGAACAGTTTGGCAGTTTCTTTAAAGGTTAAACAGTCATCTACCTTACGGCCTAGTCATTTTATTCCTAGGTATTTACTCAAGAGAATGAAGAGCACAAAAAAGATGGGTGAATGCCTTTTTACAGAACCTCTGTTTACAAACTGGAAACAACCTAAATAACCTTTAATAGATGAATGTATACATGAACTATGGTATGTCCATACTAGAGCATGCCACTTAGGAGGAGGGAGGAGTGAACTGTTGGCATGTAATAACAGAGATGAATCTCAAAATAATTATGAGCGAGAGAACTAAAAAAATAATGTCAGTTCCACTTACAGGAATAGCAAAAGACTCCATAGTAATGAAAAACAGAGCAGGAACTGGTTGGGGATGTAGTACAGGTGGTAGCAATGGAAGAGTGAAAAGGATAACGAAGGGGAACAAAGACGTTGTGATGAATTGTCCATTCTCTTGATGAGGTGATAGTTTATTACTTCTGTGTATACTTATGCATCCAGATGGATCCAATCACAAGAGGAGAGGTGGGAGGGAAAGAAAGTTCAAAGAAGGAAGCACCAAAACCCTGCCATTAAGTTGAGTCCTTGGAGAGGGACAAAATTGTTGCTGTTGTTAGGTGCTGTTGAGTATGACTCCTAGCGACGCTATGGACAACAGATCTGAACCCTGTCCTACCCATTGTTACAGTCACTGTATCAATCTACCTGGTTGAGAGTCTTCCTCTCCTTGGCCTTTCTAAGCATGATATCCCTTTCCAAGGAATAACCTCTCCTAGTCACACACCCACAGCCTTTGAGACGAAGCTTCTCCATCCTTGCTCCAAGGAGCACTCTGGCTGCAACTTCTCTAAGACATCTGCTTATTCTTTTGTCAGTCCCTGGAAAATTCAGTACTCTTCTTCAACACCACAGTTCAAAGGACCGAGCAGAACTACTCTATTGGGTTTCCAAGACTGTAGACCTTTATTGACGTCGATACCTCCTCCTTTTCTCACAGGGCAGCTGGTGGGTTCAAACCACCAAACTTCCAGGCTAGTAGCAGAACGTGTTTACCCACAGTGTCACTAGGGTTCCTAGAGTGCAGGAAGTGGACGAGGTCTCGCTCAGCACGCCTGGAATTGGATGATAGTGTAGGCCTGGTAGCTCCTGAACCCCAACTTCAATCAACACCCAAGTTTACAGGTCTGCCTGAGGAATGTGGATTTTCAAGCAAGTCAGCCACAGAATCCTTCCCTTTGGCACAAGTCTGCTCCCAGGATGGCCAAGGTGGAGAGGATGGCGTTGCCTGGCAGCAGGAATAATTAGGTGAGTCCTTTTAGGGCGGAGAAAGACGATGCAAGGATGTGGGTGAAGAGTTGAAGATGACGCCCAGAGGGTGTTGGCTTCCTGCAGGGGCTCACACCCATCCAAGCAGGCAGGCAGGGGCTGTGGGCTGGAGTGGAATCTTCTCTGTTCCTAGATCAGGTGGGGAATTAGACTGTGGTTGGGGCACAGACCCCTAGCTTCTCAAAATTCATCAGTACCTTCTGCTCCCCTGCGGTCTCAGGAGACCAATCCAGCCCCCACAGATGCATGAGGATTTAGGTGGTGGAGGAACAACTTGGACAGGGAAAGCCAAATTGGAATAGAAAACAAAAGCAGCTTGTAGTCAGGGCCAGGTATTCTCTTCCTTGTGCATTCCACCTGCTCCCACTTCATCGCTGTTACGTACCATCAGGTTGGAACTGACTCATAACTGATCCTCCAGAAGGTTTTCAGAGGCAGTGAACTATATGGGAGGAGATTATTCATTTTTCTCCCATGAAGCAGCTGGTGGATTTGAATCGTATTCCTCTGGGTTGACAGCATACCTCCTTACCACTAAGCCACCAGAACTGGTGATCCCTAATTTTACAGAATTGGAAATCAATTCCTCATGTATCTTTCCAATAATCTCATGGATGCCCAAAATAGAATAACACAGAGTTTCAAATAGGATCATTCTGGCTCAAGCTTCTGTTGAGAATTTGCTTTCACACCCTGGCTATCACTCACTCATTCACTCAGTGACTGCTTTAGAGTTGGTTCCAACTCCTAGCATCCTTATACCAGATTTCTGAGGATGTAAACCATGATGGGAGGAAACTCATTCATTTACTCTCTCAAAGATGCCAGTGGTTGTCAATTGCCTGAGATGCTCAGCCATTGGGTTAGGAGGTCAACTTGCTGTAGTCTACACCACCACTCGCTGTGGTCTACATTAGATATACTGAGTCAGAATCTATAGTTTATCATGATCTTCAGGTGATTTCAACATAAGTATCAGCAGGGGATCTACAAGGATCTACAAGGCTCTATAAGTGAGGGATCACATCCAACCCCCAACCAACACTCCTCAGGTCATTTGTCTTTCAGACACTTGAGTCTCAGTTTTTGTAGTTGTCACCTTTGTGAATGTGGAAGATAAAGGCAGTTATCAGACAAGTAGGTTTAAGAGGACTCTGTCCTAAGGGGGGCAGGGGTGTCTTCACGGTCAAGGATGACTGAGGTCTTGGAAGAGTGGTGGGGTAGGACTTTGATGTTCTTGTTGTTATGTGCCGCCGAGTCATTTGTGACTTATAGAGACCCTGTATACAACATCTCTGAAGCCTGCACTATCCTGAGCCAGTCTCAGTGACTCCAACACACTTACTCCCATTACCCTAGTTACTGTGTCAATCCATCTCATCTGGAGTCTTCTTCTCCTGTGCTATCCCTCCATCCTTCTGAGCATGATATCCTTCTTCTAGGACCAGTCCCTCCTGGCCACGTGCCAAAAGTATGTGAAGCAGAGCTTCCAAAACCTAACCTTAAAGGAGAAACTTGGTTTCACTCTCTCCAAGATAGAACTTTTTGTTCTCTTGGCAGTCCATGATATGTTCAATACTTTTCTCCAGCACCACAATTCAAAAGCATCAATTCTTCTTTTGTCATCCTTAGTCATTGTCCAGCTCTCTGATGCATAGCAAGTAATTGCAAAGACCATGGACTAGATCAGGTGCACCTTAGTCTCTAGACTGACATCATTGCTTCTCAGTACTCTGGAGAAATCCCTCTCCAGATGTCCTCAGTAACACCTACCATTTATTTGAACATTATTCTAAGGGTTCTATGGGGATTCACTTCTTTAATTGTTACAGCAAAATTCTGATGTAGATTTCAGTTATTGTTAGTTGCTGTCAAGTCAACTCATAGTGACCCTATGAACAACAGCTCCAAACCTTGCACTATTCTGAACCATCCTTGGTATCTCTGTCATGCTCAGACTCACTGTGGCAGCCACTGCATAAATTCATCACAGTTCAGAGGTTTCCTCTCTCTTGCTGATCCCCTTCCTTTCCCAGCATGATGCCTCTTTCCAAAGACTGGTTCCTTCAACAAATATGCCCAAAGTAAGTGAGATGATGTTTCACCATCCCTGTCTCTAAGGAACATTCTAGTTGCACTTCCTTTAAGACAGATTTGCTTGTCCTTTTGGCAGTCTATGGTATTTCAATACTCTTCACCAACAACACAATTCAAAGACATCGATTCTTGTATCTTTCTTATTAATTGTCCAACTTTTAGATGTATAGGAAGAAATTTACCACAATTAGTTCCCTTATACAGATGAAGAAGCTGAGACTCTAGGAAATCAATTGCATACCTAAGACCACACAGTTCATAGGTGTCAGGAGCTAGGATGTAAATGCTTTATTCCAGATTAGAAAACCTTGACGTAGAGACGGCAAGTGATTTTCTTGAGGTCACCCAGCTCAGGGCTACATGCCTCCAGAGCCCATGTCTTCTCCATTCTAATCTCCTGGCCTCTCCTTGATCCTTGTTAAGAGAAAGAACCCATTACATGCCATCAAGTCAAGTATGACTCATAGTGACTCTATGAGAAATAGATCTGAACCCTGTCCTATTCTGTGGCACCCTCATCATCTCTGACACACTGGAGCCCATAGCTACAGTCACTAAAGTAGAAAGAGAAGAAAAGAGTTTTCTCATCCTGAGAAAGAAGGATGTGATCTTAAAGAGGAGGGGGGAAAACCCAACAAAAAATAAAGCAGAAGAAGTGAGCATATTTTAGTAGAGAAATGCTAATTCAACCTCTTTATTTAATCTGCAAAGTACTTTTAAAATTATATGCACAGAAATTTGTTATGATAGTACTTATATTAGGGAACATTTGGAAATCCAAAAGAATAGCCTAACAGTTTTCCATAAAACTCCATGGTGGAAATTTATACAACTGTATCAATGACAGTTATGAAGCCATGTGACAATATGGAAAAAAGCTTATAACATTAGGTGACCATCCGTGGTGTCAGAAACTTTGAAAATTGGTTTTCTATCAATTGCATTAGCCCCTGTTAGCAGCATGGTCTTGCAAATCATCAACAGCTGTGTGGTCAATATAAGAGAATGTTTTGTATACGGTGGAAAAACAGTGGTGGAGAGAAGGTGAAGAGATTGTGACAGTGCTGTGAAGAGACTGTATTTAGGTGTAACCAGAAGAACCCTGGAGAAGGAGCCAAAGTTAAAAGTTTTGCTTGCTGGATGGCTAAAGAAAAAGCTGACTTGTAACTGCTCAGACATACAGTTTGATGTATGATTAAAGAAACCAGAGGTGCATTTGTGTTGCTGAACTGAACCTGGACTTTCACTAATAGAGGAACTGTGCTTTGTTAATGTGGTTTGGGACTACTAGACTAAACATGGATTTACATGGATTTACACTGTGTGATATTCTTTGCCTCTCCTACTCCCCAATCTATTTCCCTAATAAACTTCAAAAATTTGTGAGTCAAATTGCAACGAACATAGGACCCAATTATTAGTAAAAATAGGTGCAGAAGCATGTGGGGTGAGTGATATGCTTGACCATGTAGCTTACTGTTTGGTACTATGGATATTATTGATGGGGACAGTTACCCTTTATAAAGCAGAGAGATATAAAACTCAGCCTCCTTCATGGTGCATCTGCTCTTTTTACAACATTCTTTGATCTAGTAATTCCTTTTTCTAAGAATATGTCCTAAAGGGATAAAAGGGGAAGGTCATCCCCCTCTTCTTTTAAGCAAAGATATTTGCCACAGTTTTCATGAAGTGTTTAATGTATTTCTCGGAAATAATTCCTCCATCCTTGATAATACACAGAAGGAATATAAGCGTGGAACTACACTTTCCAAACCAAACTTGGGGGAAAGAAACTTCTGGGTTTTTACTACTTTGTAACAACTATGTCACTCAAAATTTTAATCAAATACAAACTCATCACAGTAACTATATACTAACAATGTGACTTTATGAAAGAGACTAAAATAACATGAAAATGGAATTCTCCCAGGATATATGAACTATATATTTTCCAGGTATAGTTTTAAAATTCATAAACATACAATTGGTTCTTGTTGTTTGCAGTGGTTATGCTCTGTAAAGCTGTGTAAGCACCACACACCACAAATAGCAAAGAATTGCTCCTAGGGTAAATACACGGTTAGTTAGATTCTTGTAAGTTACTGATTCTACTTTCATCAACTAATCAATATGGTATCAATTCATGTTTATGTTTAAAGACTTTTTTGTAGCTAGTTCTCCCACTTATATTTGAGTTATGATAACATATTTTTATGAGTTAGACTGCCTTTTCCCCCTCCTGTACCTTTCATCATTAGCAATATGCATTCTATTTAATATTGCAGGATGTAATTATCAACTGTTCAATTGCAAGTGTTCATTATTATTATTTTATTCACTGTTATAGTCTCTGTTCAGAATCCTGTGGAATAGCGGGCTATGACCTAGTCAGTGTTGGTATTGGGAGTTAGAATGGATCGTATGCTGGGCAATATTCAACTCTAATGACATATGACAATTGAATTTAGCACAAATCAGATAACCACTACACAGTCATGGTTATGACACTAATGCAAGCTTCACTGTTGACCAGACCTATGATGTTATTGTTGTTATGTGCCACCGAGTTGCATGTGACTCATAGTGACCCTACGTACAACATCTCTGAATGCTGTTCTATCTTGAGCCAACTTCATTGTCACTGATATACTTACTCCCATCGCCCCAATCATTGAGTTAATTCATCTCACCCACGGTCTTCCTCTCCTGTGCTGTCCATCCACCCTTCTAAGCATAATGTCTCTCTCCAAGGACTGGCCCTCCTTACAACATGCTTAAAGGATGCCAGGCAAAGCTTCAGCATATTCAGTCTTACACCATCAAAACTGTCCGTTGTTCATTTTGTTGTTGGAGCTACTTGTTTTCCTTTTTTGATTTGTGCATTTTAAATGTATGTACATATGTCAGGGAATGTTTACACCCCTTAGAGACAAATAAAGATACAATTCATATGTAAATACATTATTTGTTGTTGATAACTGCTGTTGAGTAGGAACTGATTCATAGTTGACTCCCCAGTTAGTTTTCAGAGGTTGTAAATCACGAGGAGGAGATTGCCTGTCTTTCTCCCTTGGAGCATCTAGTGGATTTGAACTGTTTTTCTTAGAGTTGCAGCAGAACTGCTCTCTATTGATAAAGATACTAATTATTAAAGGCAATTATGTGTGTGTGTGTGTGTGTGTGTGTGTGTGTATGTGTGTGTACTTAATCCCCTTGTGAGCAGAAGACTACTTGTACTGTTGGTTCACTAACATTGAATTCCCAGCCTATAGCACTGCTTGTCATACCTGAACAAAGCTTATTTAACACATGTGTTTTCTCTGTAAGGCACATCACAGCATCTTATGCTTTGGAACTCTAGATGATACTTTAGCACTATACTCAGAGAACATTTTAGACCATGAAATCACCCACAAAAATGTCAAGTTGTTGTTGTTGTTGCTAGGCGCCATCAAGTTGAGTATGGCTCATAGCCACCCTATGAGAAGTCAACATGAACCCTGCCATAGTCTCATCATCCCTGACACACTAGAGCCCATTACTGAAGTCACTGTGTCAATCCATCTCATTGGAAGTCTTCTTCTCCTTTACTGACCTCCATCTTTCCAAGCATGATATTTCTTTCCAAGGAAAAGCATTGCCTAACTACATGTCCAAAGTATGAAAAACAGAGCTTTGCCAGCCTTGCCTCTAAGGAGCACTCCAGCTGCACTATTTCCAAGACCTGTTTGTTCTTTTGGCATTTCATGGGATGTTCCATACTCTTTTGAGTTGTGGTGCTGGAAAGGCATTAATTCCTCTTCTATCATCCTTATTTATTGTCCAGCTCTCTGATGTGTAGCAGGTGACTGAGAAGACAATGGGTCTGAATCAGGTGCATCTTAGTCTTCAAACTGACATCATTGCTCTTCAGCATTTTGGAGCAGTCCCTGACAGCAGACTTGCCCAATGCAGTATGTCTCCTGATTTCTTCACTACTGGTACCAAGGGTTTTGATTGATGATCCAAGCAAGATTAAATCCTTGACAGCTTCAATCCTTTCTCCATCTGGCATAATGTTGACTGTTGGTCCTATAGCGAGGACCTTAGTTTTTTTGATGTAGAGCGGCACTTGTTTACAGGAGGAGCCAAAAGAAGAAGGCGGAGTGGCATTTTGTTTGATCTCATGATTTGATTGCAGAAGTGTCCTTGAGATGGATTTTGAAGTTACTGGTAGATTTGAGTGAGAAGGCAAATTGAAGGAGGCACAACTGTTTAGAGTTGGGTTGCAAACAGAAAGGTGGACAGTTTGAACCCAGCAGCTGCTCTGTGAGAACAGTGCTTACAGTGTGTATCTATAAAGATTACAGCCTTGGATACCCTACGGGGCAGTTCTACTCTGTCCTCTAGGGTTGCACGGAGTTAGAATTAACTCAGTGGCATGGAGTTTGGGTTTCAGGCAAATAAAAAATACAGAATTTATAAAGAATGAAAACCAACTATGTTTGCACACATGTTGTTTTTGCAGTTAAATTCTCCCCTTTCCCTGGAGACCCTAATTTTCTGACCACAGGAGCCTGTCCTGAACATGAAGACCATCAGGTCCCTGCACCCACTTCTAGCTCTCCTGGTGAGGAGCATCTTGGTTCACAAATCTACTCTACTCACATCTTCCACTTCCTGTCTTTCCTCTGCCCTCCAAGCCTTCCCATCCCCCAGGACCCCACATGGTACTTACTCAGCCGCCTCAAGTATAAAACTGTGTCCTCGTATCCTCGGTAATAGTAATTGTGCAGGACCTAGGGTTGATGGAGTTGGGAGAGAGAGAGACACCAAGGTCACTAAGGCTGCAGCAATAGGGCAATACACAGCTCCCTACCCAAGCATGAACTCGGACTGTTTGCGAGCTTCACTTCTTAAGCTTTTTAAAACTTAATTCAAACAATACCACATCTTTCACACTGCTGAGAAGACTCACTGCTGAAATCACTGCTGCCAAGACAATTGTGACCCATAGTGATCCTACAGGACAGAACAGAATCGTCCAATAGGGAGCTTTGGTGGCCTAGTGGTAAGAAGCTGTGCTGCTATCCCAAAGGCATGCAGTTCGAATTCACCAGGTGCTCCGTGGGAAGAGGATGGGCAGTTTCCTCCTGTGCTATTTGCTGCCTCTGAATACTTTCTGGAGAGTCATTGATTGGTTCCACACTACAATATAGGGCTTTCTAGATGTTTAGTAGGTAGAGAGTTGTGTTATTATCCCAAAGACAGTGCTTCTTTGACAGTTTGAATCCACCAATTGTTCCAGCAGAGAAAGATGGGCAATCCAGCTCCTCTGGTACAAGTCACAGCCTCTGAAACCCCACTGGATGGTGAGCTATCAGTTGGTTCCAACTTGACGGCAATGAGAAAGCAAGAATCTTTGTAGAAGTGGACTGCCATGTCTTTCTCGAGAGTAGTGTTGTTGAGTCAAGTATGACTCACCAACCTCATCAACAACAGACCTGAATGCACCCTATCCTGAGTCATCCTCAACATCTCTGACACACTTGATCTCTTCGCTGCAGTCACTGTGTCTGTCCATCTTGTTGAAGGTATCCCTTCACTTTTCTAAGCATGATGTCCTCTTCTAAGAAATAACTTTTCCTGGCAACATGCCTAACAACGTATGAGAGACAAAGCTTTACCACCTTTGTCTCCAAGAAGCAAGCATTCTGGCTGCACTTTTTCTTAAGACATATCTGTGTGTTCTTTTAGCAGTCTATAAGGTATTCAGTACTCTGCTCCAACACCACAGCTCAAAGGCATCGATTCTTTTTCTATTATCCTTATTCATTGTCCAGGTCTCAGATGTGTAACAAGTGGCTGAAAAGACCATGACCTGAATCAGGCACACTTTAGTATTCAGACTGACATCATTGTTCTTCAGACAGCAGATTTGCCCAATGCACTACATCTCCTGATCTCCTGAGGATGACTTGCCTGATTAGAACCACATAACTTTTGATTAACAGCTGAGTGTCCCTGCAGAACACCCTTGCTAAGAAGACTTGGGAAACAAATCCTGATAATATGCCCATATTTTGCTAATGTGTTACTGTCCTGTCCACAGGCCAGAACAGAGGAGGTGAACCTGGTTCAAACAGGGAAGGCACACTGAAACCAAATGAAGAGCAGAGTTTGAAATTTAAGGTTCAAATCCAAGTGCTACCACTTATTGACTGTGTAGCTCTAAATACTCACAGCCTCAATGTCTTCATCTATAAAATGGGATCATACTGGTACCTATTGCTGGTCTTTTTCTGTAAAAGGCTAGAGAGCTAGCACAGGATCTCAGTCACGTGTTCTTTTCCTCGTTTAACAATCCTTTGAAAGAGGCTATGTGGTAGACATGTCCTTTAGGTGGTCGCTGACTGACCCCTGCTATGTGTATTTCCTGGCAGAGCAGAAGCACTCAGATAACGTTCCTGTCAGCAGTCCTCACATCTGTGCATTTTATGGAGGAGAAAATGGAAACTGAGACAGCTTGGAGGATTTGCTTGGCCCAGTGGACAGAAAGCGATGCTACCAAACCAAAGGTGGGTGACTTTTAATCCTCGGCCCTCGGGCCTGTCTTTCATTGTTTTTGTTCAGACATTCCTCTAGGTCATATAGTCCTGGTGTACAAGTTGCCATACAGCGGTAACTTGTGGTTGCTGTGAGGCTGAACACTGTGACACTGATGTGTCAAATGCATTAATGGTTGGCTACCCAATGTGGACAGTGTTGGGTGGAGCTCCCCAATTAAAACAAGCTTGGAAGGAGGAGTGGCATCCACTTCTGTAATAGCTTGACTCCGGAAACCCTGTGAACCTGGAGAGAGGATGAAAGACACACAGCGTTGAGGACTCTCCTTCATAGGGTCACTATGAGTCACCTGCGACTCAACAGCACTTAACAACAACAACTGCAACACATGTCCAGTTAGCAGCAAGGAAGAAGTTTAAATGATGACTTGAGAGGAGCAGAGTACCCTGGTTCCCCTACCCATCCCCAGGCTAGCCTGCCCAGGCCCCCACCCTGCCCAGGCCAGCTGGTCAACCCTGCCTCTCACCTGCAGGTCTGGGGGGAACAGAGCTTGGGTTATCCTGGTGATGTTCTCCAGGGAGAACTGGAAGGAGAAGTTGAACAGGCGGAAGTCGTTGAAGATGGCAGGACAGTCCTGGGGACAGATGTCTTGCTGGCCACTGAAGGTGGAGATGGTGATGGCGTCCGTCCAGTAGGAGCAGGGCTGCATGCCAGTGAAGCCCCCGTCAATGTATCTCTGCAGGTGGGCACAGGGAGAAAAGCCCGTCTGGAGTCAGGGGCCTCATGCCATTTGGCAAGTTCATTGAGGATATGAGTTCCTGGGACTCTTTGGGACAGTCCTTGACATTGGCATCTGGCGTGAGTGGGTGGTATGCCCAGGGTCACTTGGTGAGTCGATGGCAGCTCTGGACTTCTAGCCCCAGGGCTCCATCCCTGCACTGTCCCCATGAGCTAATTTTAATGGTGCTGAGATTGGGGCCCTCATTCAGGCCTCTGTGACAAAGGGGGGTGGACACCCCTACTCTGAATGAAGGATATCTCCCTTGGAGCCACTCAGACACTGAGGGCGGGGGAGGTGGGTGAGCGCTTGAGTCTGAGCAGGCTGTGACATAACCACTTTCCCAGGCTGCCCCAGGTCCAACCTGCCTCCTTCTTGTGAGGTCAGACACCTATGGTCACAGCTTTGCCACCGGTCCCTGCATGTCCTGCCTCAGGTCCCTCCCCATGGAAGGCTTCTGTGTCTTCACCAGTGAATGAAGATCAACAACTACAGAGGTTCTAGCTCTCTGGGGTCCCTGACAAATGGTACAGGCTCCAGCTACATGCTCAGTCATATTCATTCACTCACTCGCTCATTCACTCCCTCACTGCCAGTGCGTCAATTACGACAATAGAAACTCTCCATTGCATTTCTCAGACTACAAATATTAATGGGAGGAGGCTTCCCATCTTTCTTCCAAGGGTATTTGGTGGATTTGAACCACCAGAAACACACAGTCTATTTGTTAGCAGTGCAATGCACTGTGGACAATGCTACCAGAATTCCTTTTGTCTAATAGTTAAATCCTAATCTCTGGGCCTGATTTCCTCTCAGTAGAAAATGAGGATGGGGATGAGGTGCATCTGACACCCCTCACTCAACAACACATAACAAAACAACAATCACAACAATGCTCTACGTGTTCCAGTGGGCTCGGGCATCATCAGAGATTACAAGGAGAGTGCAGGGTAGGGCAAGGCTCAGGTGGGTTCTTCAGGGGGTGACTATGAGTTGTACTCAACTCAATGGAACCTAACAACACAACAACCAACTTCAGATGATGCCAGTTCTGCTGGTCCATGGACCACGCTTGGGGTTGTTGTGCACAACCCTATGAACAACAGATCTGAAACTTGCCCTACCCTGTGTCATTCTCACAATCTCTGGCATAGTCAAGCTTGTTATAATCACTGTGTCAATCCATCTTGTTGAAAGTCTTCCTATCTTTCTCTTGACCCTCCACCTTCCCCAGCATGGAATCTTTTTCCAAGGACTAGCCCCTGCTGACAACATGCCCAAAGCCTTAGAGATGAAATTTCACCATCTTTGCCTCTAAGGAGCACCTGGTTGCACTTGCTCCAAAACAGACTTTTATGCTTTTGATAGTCCATGGAATAGAGAATCAGAATCCTAACTCTCACCTTGAACTGATTGGATTAGAATCTGCATCTTTAAAAAACGAGATTTCTGAGTGAGTCCTGTGCATGTTAAAATCTGGGGTTCACTGACAGAGCTGACTGCAAGGGTCTCTTCCAGTCTTCACTCAGTGTTCTGGTCCTGATGATCCAGGATCTGTAGTCTATACTCTGTCAAAACCTAGCAACACTAGTAAATCCTCCATGGAGAATTTCATTCCAGGCAGGACCAAAAGGGGCAGACATGGGGATCAAATAAGGACTAAGAAGTGAAAGAATTTGGGAAATTAGATAAAGATGAGGCATTTGTATGCTCTGAGGACAAGTAGAGACAGGGACTGTTGGACAGCAGTCATGCTCAGCCTGTTAGGAGAACTGGGCTTACTTGAAAAAGGGAATGAATGAGAAGGAAGACTAAGAAAATGAGAGATGTTGACTTCTTTTTTTTTTAAATTTTATTTTTATTTTAATTTTATTATTATTTGTATGTGTGCGTGTACCCTCAAATCAGATCTGACTGGTACAGGAGGAGATTACCCCTCCTTCTTTGGCAGAGCATCTAATGGATTCGAACTGTGTACTTCTGGGATTGTAATGCAGTTTCTTGCCACTAGGCCACCAGAGCTTGCCAAGATGTTGACTTCTTAAGAGACAAACTCTGATTTTTATTACATTCAAGTTTTTAAATTACTACCATTAAGTTAAACCTTGTCTCTGGATCTCATTTTCTCTCTTCTCTGTAAAATGAATGGGAGGGCTTATAGGTTAGACTCTCTGGACTCAAATTTATCCAGAATAATTTTGAGTAACATAAAAAAATGTCTACATGAGAATCAGAGTATGGGTGATTGTTATTTGGTTCCTGAGGAGAGGGAGGCAAGAAAATAGATGACTTTACACCAGAAAACTGGAGAGACTGCCCAGCTTTGCTCTGTTCCACATTTGTAACTGAAGCGGGGGAATCCCCCAAATTCCACCAGCCCCAGACCACTGTTCAGCAGTAGCTGAGAAGGAAGAGATACTCTGGATCATTTTTTCCAAAAAGAACTGGTGCCATATGGACTTGAAGACATAGAGATAAGGGCTGGGGGCCTGGGCCTGTCAGAGAGGCAGCTGGCGGGCAGACCCCCAGCACCCTGAGCCTAAGGGCCACTGCCCCATTGCCCCACCCACCTCCCTGCCCTGGCCATCCTCAGGGACCTTCCCTGGCATCTTAAGTCACCACTGTCGGCCTGGGATCCTACAAGGACATTCTTTGGGCTTAAAGCAAATTCCACAGAAATTAAGAAGAAAAATAGAAATCAAAGAAGGGAGGAGCTGGTCAGGACCAGGGTCAGTGAGTCTGGAGGTCAGGAAAGAGAAGCCCAGCCCAGTCCGGGGAGTGCCTGTTGCTTGTTTCCATCCAGTGGACCCCTCCCTGACTCGTGGTTACCACACACCCACCAGAGCTAGTCCTGCACTGCCCAGAGATGGGTGGCAGACCAGCCTGCTCTGATCCAGAGGGTTGAGGGCTTCCCCGCTTCTAAAAGTTGAGTGCAAGTTTATATATCATATAAGTCATTCAAGCTTTCATATACATTTTGCTTTATCAAATTACTTACAGTTGGTTAATGTCATCTGACCAATCCCTTATTGTATAATGAATTCCTTTCCTTTCTTAATTTATCTGTACACCCATTTTTACTCTGTTGGATTTTCAATGGCTGGTTTTCACAAGATCACCAGTTAACCCAGTCCTCCTTGGCCTGGATGCCCCAGTGAACCCGGTTCCACATCACAGCAACACAAGAACCTCCACTGACCTGGTGGAGTGCCCGTGCGTGAGGTGTGTTCACTGGGACACAACCCCAGGTCTCCTGCATGGAATATGAAAATTCTACCACTGAACCACCAAAAGTCCTCAGAAAATTGAGGATTCTAAGCAGAAAAATCACAAAAAGCTTCCTAATTGTATGTAGGTCCTCTCACTGTATTCTGGGACTGCTCTCCCAGATGGAAGCCAGAAGGGGCACAAGGGTTCCCTGCTTTTCTCTGGATCACATTAAAGTACTCACCTGGCCGCGGTAGGTTGGGGGGATGAGGCCACAGTACACTGGGACGAAGCAGCTGCAATACAGGGCCTATGGAGAGAGCACGAGGGGTTGAGACTTTAGAGGACATGTGGATTATGTGATGTGGGCTTGCCTGTAGGCCACTGGGGCTCCACCAGCTGGTCTACCCAAGCAAAGAAACACTTTGGCGAACAGAATCCCAAGATGAATTCCTAGCCCTCAATAACTTATAAGTCAGTCTGGGCCTGATGTCCCAACTTTCAAGGAAGACTTCCATGCATCCTGTGAATGCATCCTCAATGAATTCTACTCTGTGTCTGTCTTGGGCCAGACCCTAGAATCAAAGGAAGATTTTTCCATTCTTGGGAATGCTCAAAGCCAGAGAAAGCATAAAGGTGATGGTAGGGAGGCCTACAGGGGCTGTGATAGGCCAGAGAATACTGCCCTCATCAGGCTGATGCTGTGTCTCAGATGCTGGAACATGCCCCATCAGGTCCCCAGCTGCCAGCTTTCAGCTGCTGGTGTCCCTCAAAAATCCCATAGCTGAGAGAACTGCTTCACCCAAGTCACCTTCTCTCAGGGGGGCAATCTGAGGCCAATGACTGGATCATGGGACACACAAAGGCCTGGCCTTGTATCAAACCGGGAGCATCTCTGAAGAGGCAAGGGAACCCTGGTGGTGGATTGATTCAGTGATTGGGGTAATGGGAATAGGTGTGTCAGAGACGATAAGATTGGCAAGGGATAGAGCAGAGTTTAGGGCTGTTTCACATAGAGTTGCTATGAAACGCAGGCAACTCGACGGCACATAACAACAGTGTTCCTTTGCTCCATTCAGACAATGGCTTCCTGGTCTAGGTTTCATATGAGCATAATGAAATATTCTGGGATACTCGTTCCTCTCTTTGTTAGCTGAAGTTTGTTATGATCTACATGGTCAAATTCATTGGCTAGTTCAGTCCTTTTGTCAAAGGCCTGTGTTTAACAACTATGTGGAAGGCTGCCAGTTCAAATTTATCAGAAGAAACTCCTGACCATTTACTTCTATAAGATTACACTTGGTGCAAACCCTAGCCCTGGTGACCTAGTATGTAAGGAGTTATGCTGTCAGCCCAAGTCCACCAGCTGCTCTGTGGGAAACCAATGGCAGTCTCCTCCCAGGCAACCTACAGCCTCTGAAAACCTGCTCGATGGTCAGCTATGAGTCAGTCTTATTTACAAAGTGATGAGGACTAGTTGTTTGTTGATGGAATGCAGTGAGTTGGAATGAACTAGATGGTAGTAATGGTTTTTGTTGTTTTTCTTATCAAGGATCACTGGAAGGCAGGAGGCAGAAGAGGGAATGTGAGGGCCCTTCTCCCCTGTAACTAAAAACAGGAGTCATTAAAGGGTGAGTAGGGGCATACTGCAACCCAGGCTGGAAGGCCATAAAGGAGACTGATATTCTTTATAGGTTACACCTGGTCCTCCGAGACGCTCCCAGATTAGCACAGACGATAAAACAGAAATGAAGGGAAGATCAGAGGATGCTGAGCACTGAAGCACTGAGGACAGTGAGCAAGGCTGACTCGCCTAGTCTCCTCTAACACTGTGGCTGGTAAGAGAGATGCCAAGGTGATGCTAGAAAGGGAGGGATAGGAAGCAGGAGACAAAACAAAGCAAGGCAGACAGATGGACCACTCCAGGAGCAGAACTGCTTCCAAACTTCCCCTCCCCAGTCCCAGCCTCCATCTCTCCTGGGGAAAAAACCACCCCAAACAACCCTGTCTTCCAGGGCCAGAGCCTACCTTCCCAGGATAGCCTCGGCCTCCCAGAGCCACATTCTTCCTCCCATCCTCTACTTGTGCCCATCAGCTTTCCTTTTCCTGATCCTGACCCCCGCAGCTCAGAGCCTGCTTTCTCTCCCCAGACTCTGCCTCCCTGGCTCATACCCTGCCTCCTAGCCTCTCTATCCCCAGCCTCTAACCTCGATGAGCTCCTCCTTGGATGTGTACTCTGAAACCACTACATTCTCTCCATCCGTGAACCGGGTGAGGCTCACATGCAGCTTCCCTGAGGCAAACTTGTAAGAGTCCTCTGGCAGAGCCTGGTACAGAAACTGCCTCATGATCGCCACCATCTTGCAGGCGGGAGACAAGGGCCCCAGGAAGTATTTCTTCACCTCAGCCACAGCCACACTCAAGACTCTCAGGTACACCTCTGTGAAGGAAGCAGACGAGAGGAATGGTGGAGATCAAGAAAAGTGCAACTGAAAACAGATTACAGCTGATTGAAAATAGATAAGGAACTTACCTGGGTGTGTCCTTAATCATTTATTGGAAACAGACCATACATTTAATTTAAGGTAAAAGTTGAGATTTTAGTAACTGACTCGTAAGATGGATTTTCGTAACCATGAGCTTTACCTCAGCTATCACATAGCCGGGTGGACAAAGCCCCAGACACAGCCCTGTAGACTTTTTATTTTTTTAATCTTTCATATATTTTTTTAAAAATTTTTATTAATTTTAGTGAAAGTTTACAGAGGTTTAGGGTTTTCATTAATTCATTGTTGCACTTTTCTCCCTGTCTACCCCCTCCTCCCCAATTCAGTCTTCTCCTTGAAAAGTAAAAGAAAAATTCTTTTCTTGTTATGTAATCCCTCCCCCCAAGTCCACTCCACTGTGCAGCCTTCATTCTGGACTCCTGTCCTGACAATAATATCCAATCATATATCCCTTTTAAACAGTTCTTTCCCTCACCTGTTTCAATGCAGTATACATCATTCCTCCCCTCCTTCTCTGTCTTCCCTCAACCCCAATGTCAGTCCCGTTTTATAACAGTGGCCCTATGCAATATTTGTCCTTTTGTGACTGAGATATTTCACTCAGCATAATGTCTTCCAGGGTCACCCATTTTGTATAATATTTCATGAGTTCCTTCTTTTTCAATGCTGCATAGTATTCTATTGTGTAAATATACCAGAGCTTCTCTATCCATTTGTTTGTTGATGGGCACTTGGGTTGTTTCCAGCTCTTTGCTCTTGTGAACAAAGCCACAATAAACATGGGAGTGCATAGCCCTGTAGACTTTCAAAGTACATTTGTGTGCAAATCCCAATCACAGTCCTTTGCCTTCTTCTACAGTCCTGCCTTTCATTATCATGGATTGTACCTGGCACCAATCTTACGATGATACCTTATGTTTTTTGTGTTATAATTGAAAACCAAGGCCGTGATCAGGGGACTTGTACTGCACAATGTGGATGGCTTCCTGATTAAAACTTCCTAAGAGGGTCTCTTTAGAATATCTTGACTTTAGGCTTCCTCTTTTTCTTTAGAACAAATGATAAAACATCCTATACAGAGAACTGTTCCATTTGCAACAGAAGTTGGGCCATCCTGAGCTCTCTGCCACTCGTCAGAGAACTTCTCAAAGCGATGCCTTGCACAGGAGTTAGGACTAAAACTCATGTCAACTTTGAGATTCTAGGATCCTCACAGATGTCTTACAATCTGTCTGCAAAGTAACCTAGAAGGGTGTTTCCGTCCTATTTATAAATGGAACCACTGAGATGAGGAGAGGTTAAGTGATTTGCCTGAAGTCATGCAGCAATTTTGGGACAAACCATAGCTACGGATGTCTTCTGCACCTCTAGCGGCTTATAGTTCACAGATTCCTCCCTAATAATGCTGGAGCCAGGATACAGAACTTGCACGCCACTTTACAGATGTGGAAACCAAGGCACCCACAAGTGGTGAGCAGCCAGGAATTAACTGGTTTTTCTGAGTTCAAACCCCACCCGCTTCCCCCAGCTATTGGACTGATCCTTGAGCAGAGAGGCCCAGGAACCTGGGGCTGAGCCTGGGGTTGCCATGGTGATGGCCACTTCTCAGCCACATTCAGAGTCACACCTGCTCTATGTGACAGTGGCTGACTGGCGCAAACAGTAGCATCTTAGCTGTCACTCCCTTGCAGGGCAGGATGCTCCTGGAAGTGGGTTGGCTCTGCAGTTTTAACAAGTTTCAGCTTTCCATGTGCTGACGTGTATGAACTGCGCTTTCCTTCAAGGGGGTGCACGGACCACCCTGCCAGCAGATTATGAAGCAATGGAGCATTTGGATACCAAGATGTTGGCGGTGCATTGAGGTCTCACCTGTGATACTAGTTGGGATGGGAAATGGCACCAGGGGTGGAAACACTATTTTGTAATTCTTGAGGAAGCACTTACCTGAACTCTGGAAGAGTCAGAGACCTTTCCCACACTGCCTCACCATGGCTGCCTCACCTGGCTAGCTCGCCCACTCACTCACTCACACTCTAGCACTCCTGGCAGGGTCACTGACTGGAGCAGATGGAAGGAAACTTGTTCTAACAGCACAAGTAATAAGATAGTCATAGAGGGAAAATTATTTTCAAAGCGCATAAAAGCAAAAAGAAAAATATTAAGATGGGGTTAAATACCTTCATCCAGAGGCTAAGCTTGGTTGATGTCCTTCTCTAAGTGTATAGAGATAGGTGGTGGTTGTTAGGTGCCACTGAGTCAACTGACTCATGACCTGATGAACAACAGATCTAAACTTGGCCCTATCCTGTGTCATTCTCATCATCTCTAATATGCTCGAGCCTATCAATAGTCCCGGTGTTAATACATCTTGGTGAAGGTTTTTTTTCTCTTTCCCTAACGAATCTCTCTCTCTCTCTCTCTCTCTCTCTCTCTCTCTCTCTCTCCTCTCTCTCTCTCTCTCCTTTCTCAACGTATCTTTTTCCAAGGATTGGTCCTTCCTGACAACTTGTCTGAGGGATGTGAGGTGAAGTTTCCTTGCCTTTAAGGAGCACCTTGGTTGCTCCAAGACAGAGTTGCTTGTTCTTTTGCTAACCCATAGGACATTCAGCACTCTTCTCCAACACCACAATTCAAAGGCATCCTTCTTTGGTTATCCTTATTTATTGTCCAACTTTCAGTTGATCAGGAAGCAGTTGCTTGGCTTCTATCAAGCTCTCCTTAGATAGATATTGTTGTTATTGTTGTTGTTGTGTACTGTGGAGTCAGAACCAATCCACAGCTGACACTCCAGCAAGTTTTCAAAGGCAGTTAATCACACAGGAGGAGATTTCCCATCTTTCTCCCTTGGAGCAGCTGGTGGACTTGAACCCTAAGCCTTTGGGATTTCAGTGCAGCTTCTTACCACTAGGCCTTGTTTGTTTCATACAATATTGTAAATATCTTTCCACATCTATGACTATTCATTTATCACCTCATTTTAAAAGCAACAAGGAGTGCTACTGTAAAGTTATACCATTCTTTATGGAGGGGGTACCAAATTAAAAATAAAGTGAAACAAACCAACTGCAGTCAAGTGATGGTGACTCTTGGTGACCCCGTGTGCTGTGGGGTAGACCTGCAATCCAGGGGGTTTCAGTGGCTATGGTTTTTTTGGCAGTAGATCACCAGGATGGATGGTGAAGAGATTGAGATTGTTAACAACTTTAGTATGCTTGGCTCCATGGTCAACACTCTTGGCACCAGTAGCCAGGAAATTAAAAGACATATTGCGATGGGAAAGTCTGCTGTTAGGGACCTCTTCAGGGTACTGAAGAGCAATGGTGTCACTCTGGAGACTAAGGTGCATCTGATACAGGCCATGGTCTTTGCAATCACTTGTTACGCATCAGAGAGTTGGACAATGACTAAGGAGTATAGAAGGAGAATTGATGCCTTTGAGCTGTGGTGCTGGAGAAGAGTATTGAATGTACCCTGGACTGCCAAGAAAACAAACAGATTCATCCTGGAGAGGGTTAAACCAGGCTGCTCTTTGGAAGCAAGGATTCTGAGGCTCTGTCTAACATACTTTGGACATTTTGTAAGGAGGGAGAGGTCCTTGGAAAGGGACATCATTCTTGGGAGGGTGGAGGGATGGCACAGAAGGCAAAGACCCTCTATGAGGTGGATTGATTCAGTGACTGGGGTAATCGGGATGGCTGTGTCAGAGGCAGTGCAATTGGCACAGGATAGAGCAGGGTTTAGGGCTGTTGTACATAGGGTCGCTATGAGTCACAAGCAACTTGACAACAACAACAGATCACCAGGCCTCCAAGGTGCCTGTGCTATTGCTGTTGTTATGTGCCATCGAGTCAGGACTGACACTCCAGAGGATGTTTAGAGTCAGTACATCACACAGGAGAAGCCTCTGGTGTATTCCAACTGCCTGTCTTTCCTGTAAGTGGATCAAAACTGCCTACTTTCTGGCAAACTTGTCTATATTCTGCCTACTTGTCGACTTGCCTATTTTCTGCCAAACTTGCAAATGCTTGTGCCACCTGGGAACCCTGACAGAGGTCCACTTCTTAGTTTTCTCTTTCTGTTTACTTTTCTAAACAATATTAGTGAACAGTTTTCTGCTGAATTCCTTACCCACTTGTTGTTGTGTGTTGCCATTAAGTCAACTCTTTACTCACAACCACCCAATGTATGTTTTGGAATAGAACTCTGCTTCATCCCGTTCTCAGTGGCTGATTTTTTTGGAAGCAAGTTACCACATCTTCCTTCAGAGGCTCCTCTAACTTGGAGCTCAGCCTTTTGGTGAACAGCCAAGAGTGTTAACAGTTTGCACCAGCACCCAAAAAACTCCCACTGCCCATTAATTGATTCCTATTCACTACAATTTTATAAGGCAAAATAAAACTGCCCCAAGGCTGTAAATCTTCACGGAAACAGATTGTGGCCATAGCTTTCTGCCACTGCGCTGCTGACATGATCAAATTGCTAGCTTTTTGGTTAGAGGCCAAGTGACCGTACTACCAGGACTCTCCCACCCCAGGTACTCTTTGTATTACTTTGTCCATGTTTCTAATTATTTTTCTTGAGAGAAATGCCTATGAGTTGTCTGTTGGGTCAGAGGTGCACATCTTTAAAGTCTTCTTGTTGTGATGGTGGTGTACTGTAGGGTCCGAATGACCCATAGCTGACCCTCTGGTGGGTTTTCCAAGGCAGTTAATTCCAAGGGAGGAGCTGGTGGATTCAAACCACATGTCTCAATGATTGCAGCTCAGCTTCTTGCCACTAAGCCACCAGAGCTCCTTCAAAGTCTTGCCATGCTTATTTTAATTGTTGTTATGTGCTGTCAAGTCGAGTACGGCTCATAGCGACCCTTAGAGCAGTGGATCTGAACCCCGTCCTATCCCGCACCATCCTCACACTTCCTTACACACTAGAACCC